GCAGATTGAAGTCGACCCTGCAAACCAGCATAAAACTACGTTCAAAACTCGCGATGGGCTGTACGAATTTACCGTCATACCCTTCGGCCTCACGAATGCACCGGCCACCTTCCAAAGTCTCATGGACAAGGTGTTCCGCAGTCAGATCACTCGATCTGTTGTTGTTTATTTGGATGACATACTAATCTTCTACAAATCAATGGAGGAACACATGAGACACCTTGAGGAAGTGGTGCAGATCCTCAAGAATGTGCAGCTCCATCTAAACTTGGAGATATCTGAGTTTGGGAGAGACAACATCATCTACCTTGGACATCGGTTGTCCACTGCAGGCCTAGAGCCCGAGGCAACCAAAGTCGAGGTCATCCGCAAATAGCTTCAACCGACAAACGTCCGAGAGTTGCGTTCTTTTCTTGATCTCGTGTCATACTACCGTAAGTTTGTACCCAAATTTTCTATCATCGCCCGTCCGCCATCCAAATTGACAAGCAAAAACGTGTCTTACACTTGGGATGGGGAATGCACAACCGCCTTCCAAGCATTGAAGGAGGCCTTGGTGAATCATCTAATGCTCCGCATTGCAAATCCTAAACTTACATTCGTAGTAACTACAAATGCAAGCTCGACGCAGTGCTGCAGTAAGATGATGGTGACGACTTATGTCCGCTTGAGTACTACAGCAAACGCATGCCCAGTCACAAGGTAGCTACCTCTGCCTACATGCAAGAACTCTATGCCTTGAGAGAGGCACTAGATCACTGGAAACACTACCTCTTGGGTCGTCATTTCAAAATGTTCTCGGACCACAAGACTTTGAAATGGATCCACACACAAATAAATCCATCGACTACATTGATCCGCTGGTTGCATGAGATTGATGTGTATGATTTTGAACTTAAACATAAGAAAGGTTATTACAATCGCGTTGCGGGGTCTCGCCATCCTAAGTACATGAATTGCCTTGTGGGCTCCTACGATCTCCGTAAGAAATTGAAGAACGAACTAGTTGAGCATACTGCCAAGGATCCGTAACTCAATGCCATCCTTTGACCAGATCCAAGCTGACCCTAGCAATCAACCTGATTTCCACGAGTGTGAAGGTTTGCTCTTCCGACGTTACGGAAAGTACGACCGACTATGTGTACCCAACCATGAGCCTATCCGTACTGACTTCTTGGACTTGGCTCATGGCCGGAGTGGACACTTCGGTTTTGAGAAGACATACGGAAGTCTATTGCAAAAGTTTGTTTGGCCTGGGATGAAAGGAATGGCACGAAAGTTTGTGGCTTAGTGTCAAGTTTGTGAAAACATAAAACCGTCTCGGCAAAAGCCCTATGGGCTGCTGCATCCTCTTCCTATCCCTGATGGCTCGGGTGAGTCTCTTTCCATTGACTTCACGAACATGGGAAAGAAGACCAAGAACAAATATTCGCAAGTTATGGTGATTGTTGACCGCTTTTCAAAACTTCTGAATTTGATTTCATTGCCACATCACCCCCCAACTAACCTTGTGATCGAGGAGTTTAACAAGAGGTACGCTCTGCAGTGTGGTCCCTCGAAGACTCTTGCGAGTGACCGGGACACTAGGTTCGTAAGTGCAGATTGGAAGGATTTCACCTCCCAGATCTATGACATCAAACTCAAGATGACGTCTGGTCGACATCCCTTGGGATGAGGAATTGTCGATTGTGCAAGGATTGTACACTCCATACACTCCACCAGGATGACACCTAATCGGCTGCACCTCGGGTGGCAAATGGGCAATCCCCTATCCTGTCTGTTTCATGACCCGCCACGTGGCCTAACACATGGCCAGCCAGGCTACAGCGCTAAGTTTGATCACTTGCTCAAAGTTGTTGTTGCAGCTATGGAAAGGCGACGTAGTGCCATGATTAAGCATGCTAACAAGAAGCGCCAACCTGCACCTTTCACAATACGAAGCTACGTCTGGGTGAAAATGTCTGAGTTTTCTGAAGAAGGTGTATCACGGAAGCTTCTTCCTCAATATTACGGTCCGTGGAAGGTGCTCAACTAGGTAGGGGATGTTTTATTCGATCCTTCTTACATGATCGACGTGCCTGCTCATCTGCGGATGTACCCAATCTTTCACGCATCAAAGGTTTTGTCGTATGTATCACTTGAAACTTTTCTGTATTGAGAATCAATGATTCCTCACAAGATTGATAGAATGGTCGAGCACAGTGGAAAGGGAAAAACAGACAATACAAAGTTCATTTTCTATATCACCCATTAAATGATTTTTACTGAATTTCTAAGAAAGACTTGCTACAGAGTGGCCCCTGAGTCGTCAAAGCATATGAACGACTGATTGTCTCCAAACAGCAACCTAAATTCACCGCTACCCTCACTCCTACGGAACATACCCGATCTCTCTTTGCCATTTACTCTTATGATGCGTTATGCATGGACTCTGAGTGAGTTACTCGCTCCAAGGAACCTCACTCTTGAGGGGGGGGGTAGTGTAATGACCTTCCATAACACAGACTGAGAACATTGCTGGTTTCGGAGTTTTGCCGATGGAATGAATGCCTTGCTGAGATTCCCACATTCTGCTGAGTTTTCTAAGTTTGTGTGTGTGTGCGTGCTTGATGACCTGCGTGCCTGTCTGAGTGCTTGTCGCCATGAGTGTGTGTGTGACCCACAAGCGTACTTGCTTGTTTGGGACGCCCGTAGGGCCGATACTTACCTGTGGCCGCGATATTAAGGGTTGCAGCAGGGAAAACACTCAAGTGGCAAGTAGGCCAGTACCACACCCAATAGAAGTAGATGTGCCGGGTACTTGTGGTCGAGCAGAAGAAGACAAAGTTGGCATTTTTAGAGGCCCAGTAGTGGTAGGCTAGGTCTAGGCGGGTACCGGTCCATCCAGTCTGAGTCTAGGGCCCGTACAGGCAATATCAGAGTCTGCAATGATGTTTCCCGCCGAAAGGGAGGGGGTACCGGTTGCCTGGGAGGCCGAGCCGCCTGGAAGTCATCGCCCAGGAGGCAAGCAGGCCGCTATATCTTGAGGCTGAGAGAAGAGCCCAGCCTCATTCTTCGGTGTGCAAGTTGGCGGCACACTGCTTGGAGTGCTGGCTAGAGGAGCGCTGGGTACTACAGCGCTGCTGGGAGGAAGAAGGCCGAGGGCTCTCACCTCAGCTATGGTGGAGCCCTACCAGTAGGAGGAGGAGGGAGAAGAGGATTGAGGAGGAGAGTGGCGAGGTACCTACCTGGCTATGGTGGACGCCATCTTCATCACCTTGATAGGCGTTGCATCCGGAAGGCCCCAGTTGAGGTAGTGCCGCACCAAGGAAGCTCGGGGCAGAGTCAAGCATGGCGACTTAATGAGCAGCGACATAGCTGCTTTGGGTTGTCCTTTGGACAGGGGGGTAGAGCCCTCAGTAGTCCGTCATAGCCTCGCCCTACATGAAGAGGAAGAGGAAGGATGGTCATGGCTATGGTGGATCTCATGTTGTGCCTGCAGTAGAAGAGGGATTCAAACATTTGATTCTGGTTCAACCATTCAACATTATTATTGTTATTTCTTGTTCGAATAAGAGGGAGGAGATAAGGAGGAGGAGAGAGGTTGGCGAAGAAGAAGAGCATTGCCATTGGTTTATGCTGGAGTACATCATCTTCTTCTTTTTTCTTTCTTCTTCTTCTTCTTCTTCTTCTTTCCCTCACTCTCCCCTTAAGCTCATTCATTTCTTTTTGCAACTGGACGACATTGTACTTTCTGATGAATGTGTACTTCGAAATTGGTCACGATCGTAACAGACTGTGTGACGGACCCGCCGGGATGGCGGTCCGTCAGGATCAACACGGAGGGTTGAGGAAGGAGGAGATGGAGATGGAGTTGGAAGGGACATCGCAACTCCGACGCAGACTCAACATGCATGTACTCCAAAGTGTGCAAATGCAGAATGAACCAGGATACAGACTGCAACTGGGGTATACCCCAGCGGACTAACTGGACTGGACTGGACTGGCCTGGTACCGACAGTGGTACCGGGCAGGACTGGGCTGGACTGAAACAGCACACGGCCTGTGGGGTTAGGCCATGGCCTGGTCCCACAGGTCGAACAGGCAAACAACTGAATAGGCCCTGGTTGTGGGCCAGGGCAGATAGAGGTCCGCTGCACAATCCTCATGCCTGTAGTGGATTGCAAGAGCCATGGACACACCATCCGCAACAGCAATGAAACTCTGCAACAAGGAAAGCTAAGAAATCTAGGATGTGGCACAAGCTCCATGCGAAGTCCATGCAATGCAGTGTAAGCTGCATAATGTCATAAAGAAAAGGAAATGTTGGATATCCACATCCTGACTAACAACAGAAAAATGAAATGTAGCATGGTACAATCCTAAAGTCCTGGAGGCAATTGCCTTAGAGCTGAAAGGAAAAGATAGCAATATTTCACAAGGTTATGTCGTGTCGCTGTACCACTAAGAGTGGGATGGTCTAAGAGGGGGTGAATGCAGCCTAAGAATCGAAACTCCTAAGGGCAGTCACACACGAAGGTGGGATAGGTCATCGAGCTCAAGGTGAGGGAATGGTAGCGAAACAAAACCAATGACCCTAACAGATAGACCATCAAGGCGGGTAATGCTCAACAAAAGGGTGACACCATGCAGGGTCGACCATGAAAAGAGGAGCCTGAAATAGGGTGGAGATATGCCTAACTGAAGGCATGCAATAGCCGACACTAGGGTGATGAGGGCAGTGGGTGAGGGAAACATGCACACAACTCACCGACTAGGGAGGAAGCCAGATCTGGGAGCAGGGAAGCCAAGATAACGCTACAGTCCCGATGCCTATGTGATACCAAGGGAGAGCCCAACTCCGAGAAACCCAGCTAAGTGAGAACCATCATGCGACACATACAAGGGAATGTAGAGGGTAGGGTGGTGGCGTGAAGTAATCACGTCCCAAGTAGCTGAAGTCGAGAAGGTGACTGAAGTCGTCGAGGTGGTCGATGACGTTGATGAAGTAGGAGTCGAGTCGATGTCGAAGCAGAGCCGCAAAACGCTGACATCATGAAGAAGCTGATGATGGAGTACCTGAAGGTGTGAGTCAGTAGGAAGATAGTAGGTGATCAGAGTGTCAGTCGTCAAGACACCGAGGGCTTCGACGAGTGCACTGTGGACGCACAGTGCTGCCGAAGAACGACCGTAGAGGGAACGGGCTCGTCTTCAGCAATCTCCTCAGCCGGAGGAGGAGGAAGAGGGTCAATCGGCTGAGTAGGAGCAGATGTCTTAGCACGACGAGCACAATCATATGCACGAAGCAACATCCGGGCATGCTCCAAGTGCTCGAGGGGCTCCCAAGTAGCCTCCTCATCAAGATAGCGCTTCCAATGCACAAGGTACTCGATGAGTGGAGGGGTATCCTCGGTAACTCGGCGAGATACGATGTTGGAAACGACGAACTCCTCGTGACCGTCCACCATGATAGGTGGACGGCGCTCATAAGGGCGTCCGACGAAGCGTTCGGACGGTCTGTGATAAGGACGCAACAAGGAGACGTGGTAAACATCGTGTACGCGAGCCTGTCGAAGGTAATCAGGTAGCTTCACACGAAAGTTGACCGCACTAGCGACAATATCAGAACCGACGACCTGAAGGATGCGGCATGGACCGAAGAAGCGACGCCTGAACTTGCAAAGCGGATCCACTCCGAGTTGCAAGTGGCGTGCATCGACGAGGACATCGTCACCGACTTTGAATGGATGATCCATTCATGATCGGTTCGCTCGTGCGACATGCGAGTCTGGGAATCAGCTAGACTCTTGGCTCACATTTCCATGTCCTAGCAGTAGATTCAGTCGATTTTGTTCACCTTATCGATGGAAGTACCATCCGCAAGGTTGGAGACTTACCTGTTCTCTCTCTCTCTCTCTCTCTCTCTCTAACACACACACACACACACACACACAAAAACAAGTATATATTTCCATGTTCTAGAGTTAGATTCAGTCCATTTTGCTCATCCAATCGAAACTAGACGACTTGTTGCGGCTTCGCTCGCAAAAACAGATATGATGGGTGATGCATTAATGGTGTAGGCAACTGCCCAATGCAATTTCTCTCTCTCTCTCTCTCTCTCTCTCTCTCTCTCTCTCTCTCTTCCTCCCACTCCCGCATGCACGACTGCTGATATTTCGGGAGCCTATCTCTATCTCCCTTCCCTCCCCCCTCTCTCTCACATAAGACTGCCTCTCTCTCTCTCTCACACACACACACACACACTCACTTTCTCTCCCATGTGGCACGATCTCGCGACTTCAACCCCCCTTCCACCCCGACCTTC